AGCTGCTCGGAGCTCCACAGGCGATCCAAACCCGATAAAGATTCTAATCAAAGGAGAATGTGCGGGGACGCTACAAACTGGGACGAAGAAGCGTACAGGGAGAGCATATTAAGGGAAAGAGAGATCCAAACCCGAACCGTATTCCGAACCGTTTGGGCTCCTTCCTTGAACCCTAACCCGGAATGTGTCGTCGTCGCCTCTAGCGATGGTTCGATAGCTTCTTACTCCATTTCCTCTTGCGTCTCCAAACACGTGAGTCTTCTTTTTTCATTTCATCCAATGAAGAAACGAAAAAAGAATTTAATTGAAAGGTAGAAATGATTCTCAGTTGAATTTCGCCTTTGTTTGCAGCCGATTGGTTTCTGCGGTGCTAGGGCTCAACGGTAAAATGACTGTCTATATCGGTTCAGTGTTAAATTAATTGAGTGATTACTGTTTCCAATTTGAGTGAGAAGTATAAGTGATAATGTATGATAGGTTGTTACCGGCTGAACCGGAAGGATTCCTCGAAGGACATGATGGACCTGCCTATGATGTGAAATTCTACGGCAACGGTGAAGATTCCTTGTTATTAAGGTGTAGTTCAATATTATGCAATTATTTTTTTTCCATTTCTTATTTGCGTTTAATTGTGTACATTAAAAATAGAAAATTGTTTTGTTTAGCATGGTTGAGCTTATGTGAAGCTCAAGCTGAATCTTGACATTGTTCATTAACTTAACTAAGATTGACTTGAACTCGTCACTATTGGCTGGTGAACGCTTGATAAATATGAATTATAGTATGGACCTATTTTTGCAGTTGTGGTGATGACGGTAAAATTAAAGGATGGAGGTGGAAGGAATTTACTGAATCAGAGGTGCCTATTACCTTTCAAGGTACCGGATTTTGAAACTGTATACTTTTTTTTTTAAACAAGATAGTGATTATCTGAGACTAATACATAATGCATGAACTCAATGGGGAAGGGGATGAACTTTGTGTCATTATCTTTCTGTTTTGTACTGGCTTGAATCTTTCTTTGAGTTTTAAATGTTGGCCATCTGTTTTTCTATTCTTCGTCTTTGACACTCAGACAAGCAGAGACCCAATTGGTATTGTCCTGTCATTCAAATGCTCCTCTGGGGTCATAATTTTCCAATTTAGTTTTGATGTTTTGCAGGAAATCATATGAAGCCAGTGCTTGATTTGATCAATCCCCAAGATAGGTGCGTAATCAGAGTTTATAGTAGATGCTCTTGTGTGTTTTAATGCATACCCTTTGACTCCTCCATCAATAGTTAAGCATAGATTCTCATTCCATTTGCTCCTTTAACTCTTGTGTTAATAGGGGCTGCTGCCTCTTGAGTCTAAAAATTATTTTTGATTTGGAAAATAATTAGATCACCGAATAGAAATTTCTTGTTATTGTTTTGTTCTATTCTTTCTAATCAACTTAACTCCCCCTCTCTTGGTGGTAACATTCTAATTGCTGTTCTCAGAGGTCCATGGGGGGCTCTCTCTCCAATTCCTGAGAATAATGCCATTGCTGTTGATCCTCAGGTTTTTAAACACCTTCCCTGCATTTGCTTATATTTATGGAAAATTATGTTTTATGATTTTATTTCTTCTTTGCACTCTCTGCTAAAACAGGGGGGATCCATCTTTTCTGCTGCTGGTGATTCTTGTGCATATTGCTGGGATGTGGTATGTTTTTGTTCAAATGAACCTATTCATGTTTTCTCTGAGAGGTGGTTTTTAATATTTTCCTTTTTCATTATATATATATATATATATATATACACACATTTAAGTTCCATTTCTGTTGGGGATTTTCAGGAGAAAGGTGAAATCAAAATGGTTTTTAAGGGACACAAAGACTATTTGCATTGTGTACTAGTTCGTGCCTCTTCCAGTCAGGTCAACCTCTCTTCATGATTATTTATTTTGGTTGTTAATTTAATTTGGCCTTCAGACAGCGAAGCTAGTTATCCTTAGTGCCACAGCTTAACCCTTTTTAGCTTCAGTTGGGTTTCCTTTTATCATGAAGACTGAACTTTTTGGGTCGACATTTTATTCATTTTACTCATAAAAGGAGCTTCTGTTGTGCTGCTGGTTTATGCTTTATGCTGATTGTTGCATCCATGCATCTAAGGTTGAGAATAGAGACTTTGAGTCACTGAGAAAACTTCTTAATCTATCATCTTTGTTCTTTTTCAGATTATAACTGGATCAGAGGATGGGACTGCGCGAATATGGGGTAACATCGTTGTTCTTATTTTCAAGTGCTATAGAGAGCTAATTTCTTGTTACATTTTTGTTAGCGTACTCTGTCTTATTCTATCCTAGCTTCATCTTAACACAGTGCTGTCACCTATTGTAACCTTACTATTTATTATATGGATTTTACATAGATTGCAAAAGTGGAAAGTGCACTAAAGTAATTGGCCCACTAAAGGACAAAAAGTTGAAGGGGTTATCAACTTGTGTTAGTTGCATTGCTCTCGATGCAAGTGAGAGCTGGTTGGTAAGACCTTGGTGAAAGTTTTTATATTGTTCTTTAGTAAAAAATATCATACTATGATAATGCTAACCCCATTGAAGATATATAGCCTTACATTAAGTTAAGAAAGGCATCTTAACTGCAGGTTTAACCATCTTAGAACTGGGTTACATTATTCTCTTAGATTTCAGCAAATGAAGTCTGCTGCATACATTTTTATTGTGGGGTCTTTGGAGCTCTTAGGCTTTGCTTAGTAGAGAGGAAAGAAAGAAGGATGGACAATTAAAGGGGTAGAAAAATAGAAAGATGAAAAATTATTATTTTTCATTGCATTGGTGTGCTTGGTAGGAAGGATGGAAAATTCATTGCTTGGTAGAGTTGAAAACATGATAGGAAAGAAAATTAAGCTTCGAAAATTAGATATTTTGAACTAACTCACCTCTCTCACATTATCTCTCATCTTTTCCTTCCAAATTGGAGTGGTTTTTTTTCCTGCACATGAGGATGGAAAATGATCACCTTTCTCAATTTTTTTTTCCATCACTTTTCTATCCTACCAAGCACACGCAACAGAATTTTTCTTCCCACTTTTCTACTCTCTCCTTCCATCCATCCTTCCATTTTTCCACTCAACCAAGCAAAGACTTGGTGAAAGATCTTTCAAATTCCTTTCAACTATATTGATTTCTATCTGTGATCCTCAAGTGGACATGTTTTAATCAAGATTTGAACTGCACAGGCCTGTGGTAACGGCCGAAATTTGTCAGTCTGGAACCTCACTGCTGCTGAGTGCATTTCGAGTATATCCAGTGGTGCAACTATACAAGATGCAGTGTTCGATAACCATCAAGTGAGAGGAAGGAAGGAAGTTGGTCCTTCTCAAGCAGGCCAACACACCTAATATTGTTCTTAGACTTGTTCATCTGTTATTTCCACCTAACAATAGTTAATATTGATTATGCTGCTATTTCAGATATTAGCTGTTGGTGCAGACCCTGTACTAAACCGTTTCGATATGAATGGAACTATTCTATCACAGATACAATGTGCTCCTCAATCAGCATTTTCGGTCTCTTTGCACCCATCTGGTGTATGTTCCAGTCTCCTTGTTTTCTGTTTATGTGTTAATGGGTTTTTCACATTGTGATCAACATTTTTTCCTGGTCAGGTTACTGCAATAGGTGGTTATGGGGGTATTGTAGATGTGATATCACAGTTCGGAAGCCATTTGTGCACCTTCCGTAGCCATTGTGTTTGAGAGTCACTGTAATGAAATCGGAGACGTAACCTGTAACGACGCGGTAATAGCTATACTTTGATGCAAGTCTTTCATCATAATGGTTTTTATTTTAACTTTCTTTAATTTAAATGGTTTTCCAACTCGTTTGTATGATAAATTTTCGTGAAATTTGATTATGTGCTTGCAATTCATGTTTTTACCATTCCAGAATTTTTGGCTTATTATTATTATTACTTAATTAAATATTTCATTATTTATTAGTAAATAATATAGTATACAAAGTGATCAAATTGATAAAATTTTAAAATATTAAAAATTTACTGAATTATTTTTGAATTAAGATAATGTATGCAATTTATGGATTAAAATTATTATTATATTATATCAAATCAATATTTTTGTTAAGTCAATAGTTAAATTGGTGGATGATCATGACATTAACGAAGAAGAATTATTAATCAAAATAAAAACACAAGAATAGATGAATAGCTAAAAATATAATTTATCACAAAATATTTGTATTTCAATTTATGGTAACAAGTCTTTAACAATAACGTTATATAGTAATTTGTTGATACTATGATAAGCATATCTCAAATTTACTTTTTGGCACTCACCATTTATAGATTTTCCATTAGTGAAAACAAAAATATTATCTAAACTTTTATCATTTTATACATAGAAAATAAAAATGCTAAATGGAAAATTATATAATTTCTTTTTCATTTTTTGAATACAAAAATTTATAATTTCTCTTTCGCAAAATAAGTTTTGTGACATCCATTCAGTTATAAAAATTGTTAAACATATTTTTTAAAATTCTATAATAATTATAAGTGAATTATTACTAAAGTATAAATTTATATTAAGAGTGAGTGACATCCATTAAATTAAAAATTTATTATAATAATATTTAAAAATATTGTAATAGTTATAGGTTAATGAATATTATTTTTTTAGATAACGTCTCTAATAATGTAATTTCAATTGAATACTTTATTAAAAGTAAGTTTTTAATTTATTATAATGACCGAAAATTATTAAACATAAATAGTCTTCAACACATAACTCATCAGGTGGTAAAAAAAGTCTTGTACATTACCTTTCTTAAAATATTTCAAAAAAAAAAAAAGCTTTTCCATACATTTTAAATAAAATAAATTTATTTTTCAAATGACATTTAATTATCAAATTATAAAATTGAAATATTTTAAAATTTATTAATATTATAAATTTTTATATATAAATATTTAAGTCTTCATAAGGTAAGGAGACAGGATTTGGTAACGACACGCCTCTCTCACTCACCCAAACCTCCCCTTTAAAAATCCCTCTTCTCCCCCTTTTCTCGTATCTAGGGTTTTAGATTCCTCTTTTCTTACTAAAATCAACCTTGTTTCTTTCTCCTTGAATCAATTTCTTCATAATGAGCAACAACGACGGGATTAATTTCAACATGTCCGGTCTCGGTGATGGTAGTATTCCCTTGCTGTTCTTAATCTTTCACCTCCACCGCTTCACTGTTATCGCTTCCCTCACTGTTTTTGTTTCTATTTTTGGTTGCAGCTCTTAACGAGGATGCTCGAGCTGGTCTTGTTAACGCTCTCAAAGTCGGTGGCTTCTGGAATTGTTTTTTGGTTTCTTTGTTTATTTTTCAACCTGTTCTTCTGTTCTTAGTTTTTGATGTTTTAGCTTTGCAGAATAAGCTTCAAAATCTTGCTGGGGACGATATCATGGAGAGCTTGTCACCGATTGTCAGGAAGCGTGTGGATGTTCTTAGAGAGATCCAGGCATGTTCTATCCTGTCAAGCTTTCATGTGCTGTTTTGCTAAGTGTTACTATGATATCACTTATTTTCTTCATATTAATGGAATTTGAGGTTGGATTTACATTTATTGCTAATAAACTTTAGTGTCAATGTGCTGATTTTTTAACATAATCTTATTCAAGTTTTGATTGGATTTACTTTGGTACTGAAGAACGTTCCATTTTCACGCTTTGCAGCTACTTTCCATTCACATCTAGATGGATTATATTTTTGTAATCTAATTTCTATTTTTTTTAGCTGTATATGGTTGGAAGTGGACTGCCATTTTTTTATTTTCCTTGGCCTTTTTTTTACAGAGCCAACACGATGAATTGGAGGCTAAGTTTTTTGAAGAAAGAGCAGCACTTGAAGCAAAATATCAGAAACTATATCAACCCCTATATGCCAAGGTTTGCCTTTTGAAACTTGCTTCCGTTTTGGTTCATTGGGTTACTTTTGTTTTTTGTGACCTATTATCATTCTTTTTGTAGCGATATGATATTGTGAATGGTGTTGCTGAAGTTGAAGGAACAAAAAATGAAGCAGCCATGGAAGACCAAGGAGAGGACAAAGATGCTGAAGGTTTGATCTTATTCATTGCCCCTCCCCTCTTTTTTCCCCTCTCTATAACAGCTTTTTCTTTCCATGTGGATGATATTTAAGAAATTATGCTTCATGCAGAGAAAGGGGTTCCTGACTTTTGGCTTATTGCAATGAAGAACAATGAAGTGCTTGCCGATGAGGTGAGTTGCAGTTATACTTCTTGTCATAGTGACCTTTTTGGGTTGGAAATACCTGCTCATTTTTACATATTGTGCTTGTAATCAGATTACGGAGCGTGACGAGGGAGCTCTCAAATATCTCAAAGATATTAAGTGGTTTAGGGTAGATGAACCTAAAGGATTCAAGCTTGAGTTCTACTTCGATACCAACCCTTATTTCAAGAATTCTGTCTTGACAAAGACGTATCACATGATTGATGAGGATGAACCTATTCTAGAGAAAGCCATTGGGTAAATAACATTACCCCTTTTTTAAAAATCTCTTATTGGATTATTTGGTATCCAAGATTATCAGGTTTCTTATTTTATTTTACTATAACTTTTTTCCCCTAATATGTAGGACGGAAATTGAATGGTATCCTGGAAAATGCTTGACGCAAAAGCTTCTTAAAAAGAAGCCTAAGAAGGGATCAAAGAATGCCAAGCCAATTACCAAAACGGAAGAATGTGAAAGCTTCTTCAACTTCTTCAATCCTCCTCAAGTTCCTGATGATGATGAAGACATTGATGAAGATACAGTATGCCCAACCACGCTGCATCTATATAAACGTTGGTGATTGATTAATAACTTCTGCTATTCTAATGGTTTTTTACTTTCTTGCACAGGCTGAGGAGCTGCAAAATCAAATGGAGCAAGATTATGACATCGGGTGTGTTACCTTTTCAGCTAATTCTAATCATTGGCTTGTTCTCGGTTTGAACTCCCCTTCATGCTTTTAATGAGACGCCGTTAAACAATGTTAATCTGATTCTTTTTGCAGGTCAACTATTCGAGACAAGATTATTCCACACGCTGTGTCCTGGTTTACAGGAGAAGCTATTCAGGGTGATGATCTTGATATAGATGATGATGATGATGATGATAACGAAGACGATGATATTGATGAAGATGATGATGAGATGATGAGGAAGAGGGTGATGAGGAGGAAGATGATGAGGATGAGGATGAAGGAACTAAGACCAAAAGGAAGGTATGAGATGGAAAACTTTCGTGTGTTATACCGTCTGCTGAATTTATCTTTCAAATCAAGCGATGCTAATTTTTCTTGTTTCTTGTTGAACTCCACGAAATATTGCTGTAGTCCTCTTCTCAGAAGGTAACACCCATTTGATATCATTTAGATCTCCTTTTTGGCAAGTATTGAAATCTATACCTGATTATCTTTGTTGTGTACTGCAGAAGGGGGCAAAAACACATGGAGATGGGCAGCAAGGTGAGAGGCCTCCAGAATGCAAGCAGCAGTAGAATATGATGGCTGCTATCCACAGATGAGTGTCGAAGTTCGAAGCGTGTTCTATAAGATGTCACAGTTAGAAGAAAAGGGGCAAGGGAGGGTTTGCAGTTTTGATGGTTATTTATTTTTACATTTTTCATGTTATGCCAGGAACATAGATTGGTTTGAAGAATCCTTCGTTTACCCTTTGTGGTTTGTTTCTAGTAATGGTAAGTCTCAGATGTGTTGGTATTTTTGTTTTTTGAAGAATGTTTCCAGAAACTCTGGATTATATGTCCTGCCTCAGTGTTCTTCTTGTGGTAGACTTTTATCAATTATTTAATGGCCAGTCTGATTACAGTTATTTTTTAATTTCTCTTTGATAGGGGGCTAAATCTAGTTATTTAAAATAAGAAACTATCACTTGCTGTTCATGTAGTTTCATAATGTAATCTGCTTTTTGGTGCTTTCGAGAAGCAACTTTTGAAAACTGAATTATGAAAAAATCACATTTTCATTCATCTATCTTTGTAATGATAAATATATATTTTAAGAAATATACTTCAATTTTATTTCAAAAATTGTAGATGTTTATATTTTGCAATTCTTATTGGGTACGCTATGGCCATTTTTGTCCATAAATGTTTATTTTAATTTTTTTTTCTTTGGTCAACGTGATATCTAATTAGGTTTTGGTTGATGTGGGTTAATTTGTAAATTTATCTTTAAGTTAAAAATAAATTATCAATTTAATTTTTAAATTGGAGTATTAAAATTTGCCGCCGCTCACCAAATAAAAGAGGGCATCGAAACAAGAAATTACCATCTTCTTATAATTTGCTTCTTTCAAACTCAAATTCCAATTTCGAAATGGGTTTCATGGAGTCCACAGTCGTCTAATATGGATCAGGTAATGCCTGCAAGTTACAAAATATAATAGAAATTGTGTTTGGGTATATCCAAATCGGATTCCTGCGATGAGAATATGTCCAAGAAAGATGGATCATATTACAAGTTGTTTTGGAAAAGAATCTATTATGTGGCTTCTTTTGACCTGATAAATGCTGTTGTTAGAATGTGCTTTGTGTTGTTCATGACTCGTGGAATAAGCTTTCTTCTCCTTATCTACATTTCCTCTTATCCCGCTTAGGTGCTTCTTGTTAGAAGTCTGGTGCTTTCTTCAGTTTCAATGGCAAGAAACTCCATGGGAGTGCTCTTGAAGAGACGAGTAAAAGCTACTCGACTGCTTTCCTGACTAGTGAAGAAGGTATAGTATTAAATTACGGTTGCGGGCGTGATTTATTTCTTAAAGGTAACTATACATATAAATTACAGGTCCAATTACGATAATCCTAAAAAAATCTTACGATGCGACGTTACATTGTGTTACGATTGTAATTTAATGCTACGAGAAGTTGTCACGTACCATATGAAATCTTCTGTAACCATAGTTGTTGGTTCTTCTGTTGGATCAGTCATTTTGCTAAGCAAGTTTTTGCAGTTGGTTGAAGGTTTTGAAAATCTTGTGACTCATAGCAACATTTTACTCCTAGTTAAGGTGAAGATTAAAGGTTCAAATCCATAATTTATGTATACTGTTGCGGAATACGACTATCGGATAGAGCAAAATCGAAAATGATAATTTGATAAAATAAAAATGAAGATAAAAAATACAAATTTTACGTAGAAAACCCCTAAATAATATAGGGTAAAAACCACGGGCAACGGTAGAAGAATTTCACTATGAGAAAATAGGAATTACAACTTCTCTCGATCTACCAAGGAGAAAAAATGATAATTCTTTCTTGATAAAAAGGAGAAAACAACTCTCAAGAAACTCTCTAAATTCTCTAGTATTAGGAGAAAGTTAGAATGATTTGGGATGGTTTTGAAGCTAAATGGGATAGGGTATTTATAGTTGAAGCTTAAGGACTAATCTTGTAAATATCTTAAAGTACAATGACTAAAGTTACAATTTTGTCATTGCCCAAAAATCAGTATTTTCAGTTGCTTTGCACCGAAAGCACCGAATTGTCTGAAAGGTTGGCCAAGTGACCAACTTAGCATTTGAATTTTCAACAATCTCCCACTTGAAGATTTGATTGAAACAATCATATCTTCACACCATTCTTTCTACCTTGTACTTTCATGTTGCTTGCGTTTTTGACAGGCCACAAGAGGATCGACACCATGTAAATTTATCAGCATTGATCGCCTTCGTCATGAAATCTGCTATGTTGTCTTTAGTATGGATCTTCTGTATATCTACCGTCACTTCTTCCACCTTTTCACGAATGAAATGGTAATGAACTCGTATGTGTTTTGTTCTTGAATAAAATGTTGGATTCCTTGCTAGATGCAAGGCACTTTGACTATCACAAAACAGAGAGTCATACTCTTGATTGTGCCCAAGCTCCTCCAATATCATCTTCAACTAAATTGCTTCTTTATTGGCTTGTGTAGCTGCTACATATTCTGCTTATGTTGTGGATGTAGCCACAACTAACTGCAATTTTAAAACTCAGCTTACAGCTCCATCATCAATTTTAAACACATATCCTGTAGTAGATTTGTTTTTATCCAAATCCCCTGCAAAGTAAGAATCAACATACCCATTGATAAGTAAATTTGACCCTCCGTAACATAATGCAACATTTGAGGTCCCTTTGATATATCTCAGAATCCTCTTCATTGTATTCCAATGCTCTTTGCCTGGATTCTCCATGTACCGACTAACCACTCCCACTGCTTGTGCAATGTCTGGTCTTGTGCATATCATAGCGAACATTAAACGTCACACTGCTGATGCATACGGTACTTAAGACATCTCCATCATCTCTTCTTCATTGCTAGGACTCATATTGGAGGATAATTTGAAGTTAATATGAATAGGGGTAAAAATTAGCTTACACTCTTACATGTTGAATCATGACAAAATCTTCTTCAAATAATTCTTTTGTGAAAGTCAAATCTTCCTATTACTTCTGTCTCGGTGAATTTGCATCCCTAGAATCTTGTTTGATGATCCCAAGTCCTTTATTTCAAACTCTCTAGCCAGTTGTGCCTTCAATTCTTTAATATGATCTTTGTTGGGTCCTGCAACCAACATGTCATCCACATACAACAGCAACATAACAAAATCGTTATCACCAGACCTTTTGAAATAAGCACAAGGTTCTACATTAAGTCTGTTGTATCCAAGGCACATAATGAAGGAATCAAATCTCTTATATCAACACGTTGGCGCCTGCTTTAGACCGTACAGAGATTTGTTCAACCTGCAAACCAAGTTCTTCTTTTCTTCTTCTTCAAAACCTTAGGCTGGAGCATATAAATCTCTTCTTCAAGATTTCTATGAAGATAAGTTGTTTTAACATCTAGCTGCTCTAGATGTAAGTTCAATGTAGCACACATTGCCAAAACTACTCGAACTGTTGTTAGTCGAACCACATGAGAAAATATTTCATTGAAATCGATACCTTCTTTTTGAGCATATCATTTGACCACCAGTCTTGCACGATACCTCTCAACTTGATCGTCACTATTTCGCTTGATTTTGAAGACCCATTTGTTACCAATAGGCTTCCTTCCTTGTGGTAGTGACACAAGGTCCCATGTATTATTTTTATGAAGGGCTTCAATTTCTTCCTGCATTGCTATCATCCACAGTGAATCATCTGAGCTGTTTATTACCTCCTGATACGTTGATGGCTCACCGTCATCTGTTAAAAGGCAGTATGCAATATTTCCTTCTATAACATAATATGAGTGTCAATTGGGACGTCTTCTCACACGATCTGATTGACGAGTTGTTAGAGCTTCAGAACTCTATGGTTCTTGTTCATCATGTGCTGGTTCTGCTTCAGAAGAATCTCCTTGTTCCAACTCCTTTTCCACATGTATCTGTGTAGTCTCTGACTTTTCAGCGCTATCCTCATCTTCTTTTCTTTGTAGTTTATCTTCTACAAAGAATTTGCATACCCCTTTACTCCATCAACATACCCCAAGAATTTGTATATCCTGGATTTTGGATCTAACTTTGAAATTTCTTGGGAGTTGTACATCACGTACATAATACTTCCAAATACATGGAGGTTTGAATAATCAGCTGGTTTACCAGTCCACATCTCCATTGGTGTCTTAAGCTCTATTACAGTTGATGAAGCTCTATTCACCAAATAACAGGCGGTATTGACTGCTTCTGCCCAAAATAATTTTTCTAGACCTGTAGCCCTTAATATTGTTCTTGTTCTTTCTAACAAGGTTCTGGTCATCCACTTTGCCACTCCATTTTGTTGAGGAGTGTTCGCCACTGTGAACTATCTTTTGATGCCTTCTTTCCTGCAAAAGTCATCAAATTTTTCACTTGTGTATTCTCCTCCATTATTTGTTCTGAAACACTTGATCTTATTTCCAGAATCAAGTTCCACTCGCTCTTTGAAGTTTTTGAAAGTGGAAAACAAATCCAACTTCTTCTTAATAGGGTACACCCAACATCTCCTAGAGTAGTCATCAATAAATGAGACAAAGTACTTTGCTCCGCCTAGGGATGTAACTGGTGCTTGTCATACATCAGAGTGAACCAATTCTAGAACACTTTTGCCTCTAGAATTTGATGTGTTGAATTTCAGCCGGTGCTGCTTACTTGTTATGCAATGCTCACACAAAGTAAGTTATATATTTGTTAAGCCTGAAAGTAGCTTTTGCTCCACAAGGACTTTCATTCCTTGTTTTGACATATGTCCAAGTTTCTGATGCCATAGCATTGCAGAATCTGAACTACATGAGGCAATAAAGGCTTATACTTCTAGTAAAGTCTCTCCCTTCAGCATGTATAAGTTTGCAGCTATCTTTTCGCCTTTCATCACCACAAGCACTCCACGGAACACCTTCATGATTTCTTTCTGTGTTTCAATCTTGCTTAATATTATCCAACAATCCGTAGGATAATAAATTTTTCTTCAGGCCTTTCACGTGCCGCACATCTCGAACAACTTTAATTGTTCCATCACACATCTTCAATTTGATGGTTCCAACGCCAACGATCTCTAAGACATGATCATTACAACTATACACAGATCCTCCTGAGACAGGTTCATAATGATGGAACCATTCTCTTCTTGAGGTCATGTGATATGTTGCTCCTGAATCAATGAGCCATATATCGACAAATCTCTTTCTACCTTCCACGGTGGTTGACGCTTCACAACATAGAGCATCTCCATCATCTGAAGTGTTTGCGATATTGCCTTGTGGATTGGAGTTTTTATTTAGACTCCAACATCCTTCTTCAAGTGACCATTCTTTCCACAGTTATAACACTTTAAATTCTTCTTGCTCCTCGACTTTGATCTATCATGTTTGTGACTGCT